AGGGATTCATTTAGAAGGTATTTAATAAGGCTTTAGTGGTTTAATTAGAGAGGATTAATGCTGATCATAGCAGGTTGTTGTTGAGGACGACGTGTAGGATTTGTGTGTCTGTTATGTCTTTAGTTATTTCTATATGTAAATGAACGCTTGTTTTGTAATAAACAGCTGAGCTAAATAAGTGTAATATTATTTTTATTATAGCGGAGTGTGTCCGAGAATTCGCTGGTGGCCATGGATTTCTCAGGAAGGACGGGTCGTGTGATTGACAGCCCTGTGGAGGCTCAGAGTGCTGCCATGGAAGAGGGACACACTTGGAGAGTGAGTAGTTAGATACATGTATACTCAGATAATGAATTAGGGGTTTTAAGGTCTTTTTTATGCATTTATAACCATTTTTAAAATCTCTGTACAGAAACGGAGTCAGAGAATGAATGTTTTGGGAAGCCCCAGTCCTCTACATCCTTCACCGTTAAGCTCAGGTGAGTGTCGCAGCATTTACTTACTGTTTAGCACCTTCAACACCAGTTGATTTAAGTGGTACTTCAATAGATATAACAATATTTCATGCCAGTAAATGTGGACTTTGCGTTTATGTCCCCAGTGATCCACAGGACGCAGTTATGGTTCCATGGCCGAATTATGAGAGAGGAGTCCCACAGGATGATAATGCAGCAGGGCCAAGTTGATGGGTATGACATTTTCCACATTTATAGTCAGTATTAATTGCGGTTTTATAAGGGGGTAGTGAAATTAATCAGTGTTTTGTCTCTCAGGTTATTCCTATTGAGAGACAGCCAGAGCAACCCAAAAGCATTTGTTCTCACGCTGTGCCATCATCAGAAGATTAAACACTTCCAGATTTTACCTGTGAGTCCCTAATAAACACTCAATACAAACTGCCCTTTTGCATGTATTAATGTTCATACAAGTATAAAGAGCAGGGCAAACTTTTTTTTTTTTTGTCATGTTACCTTATACTTAAAAAAGGCGTATTTTACAGCTGTCAGTGATTGAGAGAGGTACATGAGAAAATTAAATGTTGAAATCTTTTTTAGGTTAAATTTTAAAATTAATTTTAAAAATGATTTTGTAATTTTTGTGAAAGCAAATGTTATTTATATATAAATATTTAATATTATATATATTTTTTTTAATATACTGTTATATATTATAAATATATAAGTAAATAATATAAAAATATATTAAATAACTATGAATGGAATTGTGCCTTAGTAATTCACAGTTTACCCCAGTCACCTTAACATTATGCCACATTTTTATTTGTAAGATTGTCTCTCTATAGGCTCTTGTTATCTTGATAGGAGAGTTCAGCGATTAAAAAATTGATTGACTGATTTAAAAATCTGTTTTATTTACACCTCTTTCTCTCTGGCAGTTTGAGGAGGACAGCCAGGTCTTTTTTAGCCTTGATGACGGCTTTACCAAGTTCACAGACCTGATCCATCTGGTAGAGTTCTACCAGCTCAACAGGGGCATCCTGCCCTGCAAACTCAAACACCCCTGCACCATGGTGGCCTTTTGACCCCCTCCTGATCTTTACAAACAACACACACACACACACACACACACACACACACAAAAGTAACTGAGAAACTGGATGCTTTTTTCAATAATAATTTCCAGTCATTTTCACAATAAGCTGACGCAACCACAGGCATGAAAAAGATCTGTTTTTCTCACTGCTCTGGGATTAGCATGGACACGTTTGGGAATAATTATAGGACAAGATCAACTTCGCGGACACCCTGTCCTTTGGTTTTGACAAGGGTGGCGGGGTTTTTTTTTTTTTTTTTTTAAACAGTCTCTGTGGTGATATTCATGAACTTTCACTGAAATCAAGACTTTTTCATCATTCAGGACATGACACTAGACACACCCCCCATGAACTGATTGGATCGGGACGGTCGTTTCGTGTGGTGTGTCTGCGGGGACTTGCATTGCAAAAAGTTATTTGATGACGATTGATATGTATTATGTTATTTCCTACCTGAACATTTTGCACTCTCAAGCTGAAAACAGGTGATCCGCTTCATCCTGAGCTTACCGCAACAACTGTTACCCATTTGCCTTCCTCCTACAGCTCACCCTTTCATTTTTTGTCCTCTTCTAAACTCTTCCTGGGGATTCCCTGTGTAATGATGGATTAGTGCAGCAGAGATGACAGTAGTGTCAATTTGAGGTGACAAATCCTCAGCCAAATAATGTAACCCGGTCTTTTATACATCGCTATGTCTATGTCAGCGAGGAGGGACTAGCCGCAAGGGGTAGCAGACTTGCACTTCAATAAATTATACTTGATTGCTATGCTTTACCAGCATAAGAATTAGTTACGTTTGGAGTTCTAATCAAGCTTTGCCTTAAAGGAATGTTCTGGGTTAAATATAACTTAAGCTCCATCAACATTCTCCATCGCATGCTGTTGATTACAACAGAAAATGTACTTTAAAAAACAAAAAGCATGTCGACGGTCACCTGCTTATAATGCAGCTCCATTTTTCTCAATGAACTTGCTTTGTAAGTGGATTTCAATCAACCTATTTGGTATTCAATTTGTTTCCAAGCTGTCAGACAAGTATTTCTGTTATAAATTAAATGATGCCACAGAGTCGCACCATAGTTTAAAGGGACAGTTCACCCAAAAATGAAAATTGTCATCATTTGTCAAAGTGGTCATCCTGATGTTGTTCCAAACATGTATGACTCCCGTTTTTCAGTGAGACACAAAATAAAATATTTTGATGAATGTTTTTGCTCTTACAGTGAAAGTCAGTGGGGCCCAAAACAGCATTTGGACACTACTGATTACAAAAAGACATTTTTCGAAATAGTCCAAATTCATAATAACATTTTATGTTTAGTTTAGGTATTATAAATATTCTAATATTTTATTTTGTGTTCCACAGGAAAAAAAAAGTAAGAATTTTTATTTTTGAGTAAATTGTCCCTTTAAATCTGATTTAACTCAAAATGTAGTAGTTTAGGGCGCAAAGGTTTTGAGAATTATCCATATCATTTTAATCCAGATCACTTGTTCTGTTTAAGAAGATAATGGCCTGTTTAAGACCACTGAATTAGCTATTTTTCCTGTCAAAATGCACGTATTTGGCTCCTGGCGTTGAAATGCCATATTGATTGTGCACAGTTTATATTTGGAGCCATCAAAAACTTGACTCAGGCCTCAAAGGGCCACTGAAACTTGACCCAGGCCTCTTCGGTATGGTGTATCCCTACCAGAGCACAATTCAAGAGGGTTGTTATTCGTTTCCTACACTGACTCCAGGTCGTGTTACTTAGCTATTAGTATAGCCCGAAGCTTAACAACTGCCTTTTCAAATCACTGTGCTGTTCTTGAGCCATGTTAAACCCCTAAAAGTGACAGGCCAGGCCCGGACTGAGCGCCTGCGGGGACGCTCGAGGACTTTGCAAAGTCCCGTCTCACAGGCGTGTCCGTAATCCTCCGGGGCTGCGTGACAATGCGTTAAGGAGATTATCTCCCGTGCCAGCTTTGCAAAAGGAGGTTAGCGGCAAAAAAGCCGGTGTACGGTTACCTGCGGCGCTACTTCAGCAGTCTCCTGTCTGTCCCTGACGACTGCCTTGTTACCCTTCCAACACTGGCTCAGCAAGACTAAGCTATGGTTTTATATGCTAGCTCTGACAGCTAGCTGACTGTTATACTGCTGAGCTAGAACCACACGCGCCTAGGACGAGTGTGTACGATGCACACTGCGATTGTCAAACACTTTATACCACACAAGCACCTTTTGATTTTCACATTGGATTCACGCTGCTTAACGTATGTGAAACGCTTTAAGAACGTGTTTCATCTCAAATGTTAGCTACGATGCTATCTTACGTTAATGCTTCTTTGCCGCTTCATACGTAAATCGACTTTGTAAATTGTTACGAAAAGTACATGCTTGACGCATTCATTGTAAGGGATTGCGGTTGGCTTTTCATCACGTTAGATTTAGTAATTTAGTCACAGTTCCAGCCTGCATGAGTTAGACAAGGACGCCTGAAAACGAAATATGTTCTAATTGGAATGCGTTAGTGGTAACGCTGATTCGTTCCGTCCTACTCGAGCTTGAAGTGTTTGGATAATGCTTCTTTTTATCAGACTTGTGCTGTGTGGCTCACAATTATGAAAAGCCAAACATGCATGTAAAATCAACTTCCCCGATCTTTAATATGCCGTGTTGGTGGATTTCTTTGAACACATGTGATTTGAGATTATTGCACATGTATGTTTGGCTCAAATGCAGTTTTGTCTATGGCAACAGTCACGCTCTTCTAAGTATGCGAAGCCTAAGGAGAGGTAGTAGATCTAACACTGTATTAAAACACCATCTATGACTATATAAATGTGGTGTGCTCCAAAACAGAATGAAGATGTTCTGCATAAAGTGCAAATTATGCATATTCCCTCTCGACTTGTACCAGTGTGAAATATTTTTAGCTTATATCGTGTTTGAATTTTTATATCACAAATGTCTTTTTTATAAAGAGTATATATTACAGTATTAAATAAAAAAAAAATGTCTTCTGTTGTCTTTATTTCTCTATTGGTTTGATGTTCAGAATGTTTAGATTATTAGATTGTGATTGCCCAGTCTACTATTACATCCAATGGTTTTCTCATTCATAAGTGCTTTAAAAATACTTTTAAAGGTTGAAGCTTAACAGTTTAAGATAGATAGATACATGAATTATTGTATATTTCTCTTTATGTGGTCAATATAAATTAAATTAAATAAAATGATGCAAAAGCGGACTCTTCCGGAATTTGAACTCGGGACCCTATCGCACCCTAAGCGAGAATCATACCCTAGACCAGGGATCCTCAAATCTGGCCCACGAGATCCACTTTCCTGCAGAGTTTAGCTCTAACCCTAATCAAACACACCTGAGCATGCTAATCAATGTCTTCAGGATCATTCGAAAATCACAGGTAGGTGAGTTTGATCAGGGTTGGAGCTAAACTCTGCAGCGCATTGGCCCTCCAGGGCAAGATTTGAGGAACCTTGCCCTAGACCAACGAGCCTTAAAAATTATAGGTAGGACTGTGGGCCACGTTGCACACGACCATCGATGAAGTGAGTTTGGGATGCTTATTTTGGCGGCTTCTACCGTCTAATGCCGCCATCTGGTGGCATAAACCTGTCACAGAGGTGCCCTTAAATACAAATTACCTCGATTAATTTCAGCAAAGTAGCAATTAGTTTGCGACACTATAGCTGTGTTTAAAAGCCTGCAAAAAAATTAAAAACTTGATGTCTACAGGTGCATCTCAATAAATTAGAATGTCGTGGAAAAGTTCATTTATTTCAGTAATTCAACTCAAATTGTGAAACTCGTGTATTAAATAAATTCAATGCACACAGACTGAACTTCTCCACGACATTCTAATTTATTGAGATGCACCTGTATGTCTTCTGAAAACTGAATGACATTAAAATATGACTATGAATATATACTTGGAAAACATATCTTCTGGTAGCTGGTCTACCTTAGTCTTTTACAAAGGACTTAAGACATAGGCTAAGCAATGTTGCTGAATTAAAATGTTATGTTCATAGCATAATCGATAGTTGTTAACGTGCACACCAACGTGGTACAGGTATACCAGGTGTGATTTGGAAAAAAACGAAATTCTCGATAAAACTTTGCTCAAGGTAAATACCAATTCTACTTCTGCTAAAAAGTGAGTTAAAACGGACTAAGCTTTATGAGACAGAATACTTTAATAAATATGCTTAAAACGTGTGTTGTTTTGTGCTGAAATAGGACAACTGACGATTGTTGGTCTTGTTGTAGACCATACACTACTACAGGAATATTTCAGATTCTTCTTGATATTGGTGGTGCAGAAAGTTCACTTTGCACGGTCACGTGACATTTATCCAACTGAGTTCAGCCGGCTCGTTGGTCTAGGGGTATGATTCTCGCTTTGGGTGTGAGAGGTCCCGGACGAGCCCGCCTTTTTCATTGCCAAAATACAGGGAAAAAGATAAGATCAAAGTTAAGATAGCCTGTGAAACATTGAGGTTTCCTCTTGACTGTTGCAGTAACTCGTAAAGCCTTTAAACCTGACCAGTGGCCAAGAAATAACATTACTTGTCTAAGATTTCCGATTCCCACTGCCAACTAAGATTTTATCAAAATTTGGAGTGTGGATACTACTGTATTCAAGGCAAAAATTAGTTTTCAAACATTTGATTACTTGAGTGATCACGCCATCAAAGCAAAATAAAATATAGATATTTATTTAGAAATTGAATTAAGGAAAACAAATGACAACTATATGAACTATTTGCAACTTTTTTTCTATGGACTCTTAACAGGAGCACCTCCACAGGGGCCTGGTAGAAAACTCTCGCTGTAAATGTCTACCGGTGGTCTGTAAATGTTTTTATAGTCCTGTGAGTGAGTTTAAACATTTAGTGGGCATAGGCTATACTGTAAGGTCAATTATGATCCCATCGGTTTGTAACTTGTTGGAAAACCACTGGACCTACCATAGACTACGCTATAATATGTACAACTCAGTAACCCGTTAGCTATAAATAGTTACTGTAAAATTGTGCCAATTCCAGGATTGTAGAAACTTTAAAGGTTTTGGGCTCGTCCCGGATTTGAACCTGGGACCTTTCGCACCCTAAGCGAGAACCATAACCCTAGACCAGGGATGGGCAACTTTGATAGTGACGAGGGCCAGCATTTTTTCTCCTTTATACCAAGGGGCCAGATCACTAATCCACATCACGTCTTACACAATTTCCTTTTTATTGAAGGAAATCAAACTATAATTAATTTTTTTAAAAGATTTTATTAACTATAAAACTTGTGCAGTTATGCTAATTAAAATAGGAAATTTTGTTGTCAGTTGACAAGCAATATTACCCCAACAAGCCAATGTATCTCTATTGCATTGTCTGTAAATTTGCAACAAATGATTTCATAGGACTGACTGACTGTCTCTGTTCGATGGTCCACTCAGACTAGATACATATGCTCAAGAACACTTTTCAGAAGTCATTGTGCTCTGTCTATGTGGCGGTATCGTGCAAAGCATGGGTCTAGAGCAGGGATGGGCAACTTTGATAGTGACGAGGGCCAGCATTTTTTCTTCTTTATACCAAGGGGCCAGATTACTAATCCACGTCCACACAGTTTTTACACCGTCTTACTCAATTTTTATTGAAGGAAATTATAGTATAACTAATGTCATTTGTTTTTAAAGATTTTATTAAGTATAAAACTTGTGCAGTTATGCTAATTCAGAAGGAAAACTTTGTTGTCAGTGGACAGAAATATTACCCCGACAAGCCAATGTAAGCATTTCAATTGCATTGTCTGTAAATTTGCAACAAAAAATATACAGAGGTTCTTTTTTTTATTAGTAGCCTACAGAACATTCTCAAAACAACCTAAAAGGACAGTTAAAAAGGGCTTGATTAAAAATGGATTCATGCCGTGTCAAATTGCGACATCTAGTGGTTAACAATCAGATGTGGCGTTCTTCAGTGGGCGTGTCCTTTATTCAGAATAGACGTTATATTTCATTATGAATTTTGTTTCTTTTTTAAACGAGGCTTTGCGTAACTGGGTTTAACTCTCTGAAAATATGTCTTCTAAAAATGTTCCTGGTGACAGAAATCTCTGGAAAATGTGAAAGTTAGATGTGACATTTATATTTTTCACAGTAGAACAATAATATCAGTTCTATCGATTAATAATTTTAATTGATCAGTAACTGTGGTCTCAGTAGAATTTTTAATATGTTCAAGAAAAAAACAATCTGGCTCAGACAGATTATCAAGTGAAATATGTTCCTTGACAGGATAGAGATGTTGTTGTTCTCAGAAAGAACATTTACATTGTGAAGACACTTTGCATTCAACTGCATGCTTCAGTGCTCTGGAGGTCTTTATAGTAGATCTGTGACTTTATGATTTTATGACTGACAGCTCTCCTTCTTGATAACAGATCATAAAGCAACCATGTCTTTAATAGCCATCATTATTTGGATGCTTGCAACCTGCACCTGGAGTAAGTATATAGAAATTCATGTAATCAGCTGATTTAGAGAATATAAAATAAGCAATCCACAGATCCACTGCAGGTGGTGAGATCAGGATGTAGTTTAGACTTAATTTCCTGCAAATACTGTATATGCATTACTTAACCTATATGTTTCTTATATTTATGTTTTTGACCGGAGTATGTGCAGTAAAAATTGTTAAATTTGACCTTTAACTAATATGCTTTGACTTTATATCTTAAAGTCAAGTCCTTTATTGTCATTATGTATGATCAGCTAAATGTGAAAAATGCTTAGTGCTTGTAGTGTAACAGTAATAAATATTGTGTGCTCAGCCTGACAGATGCCTTATAACTAAGTGTGAGACTTTCAAATGTGCTCATCAGTTTTATAATTTTCTGTTTTCTGTCTCTCTCTTCAGGTTCTGTGGGGCAGATTCTGACTCAATCTGAAGATCAAACAGTGAATCCTGATCAAACTGTTACTATTCACTGTAAACACACACCAGCATTAAAATGTGGGAATCCAAAAAATAGCTCTCAATATTGCATGTCCTGGTACCATCAGATTCCTGGAGAAGCTCCTAAACTCCTGACCTATTACACATCACAGAGAGCTTCAGGTGTTCCTTCTAGATTCAGTGGCAGTGAAAGTGGAAACCACATGGATTTTACTCTGACCATCAGTGGAGTCCAGCCTGAAGATTCAGGAGTTTATTACTGTCAGAGTCAACACAGTAAGACTGGAGACTCAGAGAACCCAGAATGGGTGTTCACACAGTGTAAAAGCATCGTACAAAAACCTCCTCGGGTGAGACTGCAGCGCTGCAGCTTTGAACTTCTGCAGATGTTGATGTTGAAGATCATTATTCATCTCACTGACTCACTGTTGATAAAGAAAAGTTCATGACCAAAGCCAATGAAATGAAAATAAATGTCACATTCTAGTTAATTTTCTAGTTAATAATAAATCTTTATGTACGATACAGAAGCATAATTAAACTTATTTTTATTTAGATAATTTCCCAAATGTATTCTTATGTACAAATTACTTGTGTTGCATGTAATTAAATGAAAATACAAACAATACAATATTAATAATGATATAGATTTAGTTACATTTACATAAATTGTCTTCTTAGAGATGCATATTTGATTGCTTCTCCATCATTTAGTTATTATAATGAAATATGGAATGTCGTCATTTATTTTGTGACCCTATTTTTTTCAAAACAAAATCTACATTAAAAGATTTTCAAATTTATTTTTCAGGTTCACATTTACAGTGTGATTCTTGACAGGAGTCTGTAGAGTGGAGAGTGTTTTGCATGTTTACTGCTTCACACACAAAATGATCCGAGTGTGTTCAGTCCTGCCGGAGTCACTGATACACCTCCTAAACTCCTGATCTACTATACAAGTAAGCTTGGTTCTAGAGTTTCAAACAGGTTCAGTGGAAATTATTCTCGATGTGAATTTTTGCTGAATATACATGGAGTCCAGCTTGAGGATGAAGGAGATTATTACTGTATGGGGTTTTATTCTAAAACAGTGTTCACACAGTGAAACAGCATCGTACAAAAACCTCCCTCTCAGTCTGACGACACAGTGCATGCACTCATGCAGTAACTATGAACTCATTTCTATTAAATGAGAAATTCATTTCTCAGTATGAACGTAATCAATCTACACTTTCTGTCTATGACTCTATAATGAACATTTTTTTTCATTCATCCTGTTCAAATGCATAAATCCTGACACCCATTTGAAGACTTCAGACCACTAGCCCTAATTTGAATGTAATCTAAGTTAAATAAGCTAGAAGTAATCAATAAAGTCATCTTATAGTCACTATGATTTCTCAAATAACTTATTTTAGTTTTTGACATAATATATATGTATGTTAAATAAATGTAGCCAAATGCTCGATGCTGCTCATCACGATATCACATACTTAAAATAAACAAATACAATCGAATAAAAGTGGTATTTCATGTGTGTTTTTTGTTTTAAAATGTTTAATATAAAAGAGAATTTAACACCATATTTAAGACAAAATGCTTTTAATTGGCAAGAATAAAATGCTCAACAAAACATTCATAGAATTGCAGTTGTAACAAATAATATATGAACAATATACTAACAGCATGAAAGATTAATTGTTGAGCAGTGGCTGATTTAGGGCAGTGTGTGTGTGTGTTTCATTCATCGCACTGCTGTGTGTTGAGGCTCTTGGTCACTGCACTGTGGGATGGGTGAGTGGCGTCACAGCTGACGGTCGTTGCTCTGCTCCACTCACTCTCAGTGAGGCTCAGGCTGCTGCTCCAGCTGTACAGTCCATCCTTCTGCAGCTGACTGGGACTCAGATTGACACCAGAGCTCCTGCTGCTGCCGTCCACCTTCCAGCTCAGCTTCCAGTCAGAGGGGAATCCCTTACTGGCCACACACAGCACTGTAGCCTTACCCTGCTGCAGCTGGTCTCTGGAGGGCGGCAGCACTGTGAGAGCGGGACGAGCCGCAGCTAAAGAGAGACAGAGATGGAAACTGTGATGTTTCATTCTTCTGAAAAACAGCTCTGTCAGTCATTCTGAGAGTCTTTCACTTCCTTTTAAGAGATTCAAAGTTAATCAAGCAGATCTGAAGTGTAACAGCCCGTAAAAACACATTTACTGACTCATAATATTTAGATTTTAGACAATCCGTATTTATTATAATATATGGTAACACTTTACAATAAGGTTTCATTTGTTAACTTTAACCTTAGAAAACTATAGTTAAGATGAGCTAATACTACAAAAGCATTTATTAATCTTAGTTAATGTTAATTTCAACATTTAATACAAAAAAAAAAGTTTTATCTGTTCATATTGTTTAATGGACCTGAGCTAACATGAACTAACAATGAACAGTTATTTTTTTATTAATTAACATTAATAAAGATTAATGATTGCCATATCAAATGTATTGCTCATTGTTAGTTGGCTAATGCATTAGGTTAGTGTAAATAAAAAAAAAAGTCAAGATGTATAACTATATCAGACTAAAATGTACATGGTTTTAAATATCTAGCTTTCAGATTATGATTTGTAATAATATACTCAGACTTTAAAAAGAAAATGATTTTGTATTTTATTCAATAAATATTTCACAGAAAAGTACGATTTTGTATTTTGTTTCAATATTAAAATATCAAAGTATAAAAGAAAAAAATATTTTCATTAGACATTTAGATTTATAATATGATATATAACAATATATTTAGATTTGTATATTTGTTTAGTTTCCAATTATAGAGTAATGTAACTGACGTCTGAAACTGGAGTAAGATATATTTCTCATGTGAAACACATAAAAGAAATCAAGAATATATTAACAATTATAATTTACCAATTAGATCAATCAATTATTGATTGTGGTCATGTTACACAAAGTAAAATCTTCAGATTTTTAAAAAAATCCTAGTTTGTTCTTGTATCTCTTGTTCTGTGGTTTTCTTTTTTTATATAAATATTTTATGAAATAGACAGTGATTTACTTACTTCTAACTGAGAGTCGAGTTCCTCCACAGTGACACAAACCCAATCAGTGGCTGTTAAAAAACCTCCTGCACTAAAACTGACACTGACATCAACACTCACAATAACACTGACATTGCCCTTAAGACTGACACTAAAACTAATAATGCATTTTAGCTTAATTCAGTCACATCAAAAAATAGAAATACATTTTTAATTAATAAAATGCTGCAAAAGGTATTTTTATTGATTTTGTGGTAAATTCCAGGATGCATCTTAATGTGTTTTTGAAAATGTTTTGCATATTAACTGAACACTGCGCTTAAAACTCCACTGATGATTATTAGTGTGTAACACACACACACACACACACACACACACATAAGAAACAATGATTTATCTTATTCTAATGCTCTGGACACTTGCTCAAGGTACAAAAATACCTGTGGGAAAAAATCTGTGGGAATTTATTGTTCAAAAATTGGAATTTGTGTTTTGTTTTTTATTTTGTAGTGTATTTAATTTAACGGTTTTATAGCAGATGTAAATATCTGTTTGCTTGTATTTTAAAGTATTGTAATATTTGTTTCTGCATTCTCTCTCAGTGTCTCATGAAGAGGTTCAGTCTCCTGAGTCTCTGTCTGCTAAAGCAGGAGATTCTGTCTCTATCAGCTGCACTGGGACCAGTGGAGTCAGAAGCGACATGAGCTGGTATCTGCTGAAACCTGGAGAGGCTCCTAAACTCCTGATATATGGAGCCAGTGCACTTGAACCTGGAGTCCCAGATCGGTTCAGTGGAAGTGGATCTGAACCTGATTTTACACTAAACATACATGGAGTCCAAACTGAGGATGCAGGAGTTTATTACTGTATGGGGGTTTATGAGGGTCCAGTGTTCACACAGTGAAACAGCATCGTACAAAAACTTTCCTCAGTCAGACACCATGAGAATATGAGAATGCTGAGAAGTTCACAATATCAATATCATAATTAGTCTTACTCACTAGTTAGGTATGAATGAAATTTGAACAAACATATTGTGCCTGTTTTTGTGACCAAACATATTCTCACATTTATCCTTTTAATTGTTTTAATCCTAAAGGCTAATAACACAGAACTATAAAAATTTCAGGCTAGGTGCCGTAATTTGTAACATTTTAAACAACAGTTAAAACAGTGGGTAAGATTTTAATTATTCAATCTGTTCATGAAATTTTAATTGTCATTATTTCAGCTGAAACAAATATAAATAAAGAAATGCCCTAGGCCAATTATCAACAATTATCTTTGACTCAGTTATCAAGATTCTACAACTTTCAAAAGCAGATTCAGAGGCTGAAAATAGTTTAAATGCAGCATGTATAAAACGCATCACATTATTCTGTATATGAAGGAATTCAGCCAATCAAAACATACAATAATTATCTTTTTAATTACATTTTCAATTTTAAAATGTAAGTACTCATGCTCCTCACAACCACACTATTATGCACTATACTTTATTTCATAATATATATTATAAAAGTAATTATCAAACCTGTAACAGTTTTTTATTTAATTTTGTAGAGTTGTTGTTATTTAAATAGTATGTGAAGTTGGACATCAACATCTGTTCCTGGATGAACATCATTTCTTGGTTCTGGAAAATTCAATGTGTGTGCCAAAGAAACATATCCTAACCCTAGCCATAAACTATGGCACAAATATAGGGAAATTATAGGTTGATAAGAACACTGGATCTTTCTGCATGTTAAATCCCAAGTAGGAGACAAAAATTGCCTGTCTTTATGAAGGAATCATTAAAGGGGTCATATGATGCGATTTCAATTTTTCCTTTCTCTTTGGAGTGTTACAAGCTCTTGGTGCATAAAGAAGATCTGTAAAGTTGCAAAGACTAAAGTCTCAAATCCAAAGAGATATTCTTTATAAAAGTTCAGAGTCAGCCACACCTACCTAAAACGGCTCGTTCTAACACGCCCCCACATATCTACCTCACTATGTGGGAAGATTTGCATAACGCCGCCCAAATGTTCACGCAAAGAAAGAAGGCGTAACTTTTAGTCTCACTGTAGTTTTGTTGACGCTGCAGCCATGTCGTGAAGACGCTGGTGTGCTTCGTTGTGAAAGTGAAACAATAATGTTCTTTTTAGCAGCATCATATGACCCCTTTAAAAAAAAATATCTGGCTTAGCCAGATTATCAAGTGAAATATGTTCCTTGACAGTTAGAGAGGTTGCTGTTCTCAGAAAAAACATTTACATTGTAAATTCACTTTGCATTGAACTGCATGCTTCAGTGCTCTGGAGGTTTTTATATCTGTGACTTTATGATTTTATGACTGACAGCTCTCCTTCATGAACAGATCCTAAAGCAAACATGACTTTAATAGCCATCATTATTTGGACACTCACAACCTGCACCTGGAGTAAGTATATAGAAATTTATATCTTAAAAAGATGCGATTTCAAGTTTTTCTTTCTCTTTGAAGTGTTACAAGCTCTTGGTGCATAAAGAAGATCTGTAAAGTTGCAAAGACTAAAGTCTCAAATCCAAAGAGACATGTCAACATATTCTGTTACACCAAATACACAAAATAATGATCTTTAAAATAGCATCATATGACCCCTTTAAGCTCATTTACTCCACAGGTGTTGAGATCAAGATGTAGTTTAGGCTTAATTTCATGTAAATTCTGTATATTATAAACACACATATTCTTTCTTATGTGCATGCTTTTTACCTGAATGAGCAGTTTACATGATTATATATATATTATCATTAAAATTTAATTTATTTGTTTTGACATGTATGATGTGTTTTTTTGTCTCTTCAGGTTATGTGTGGGGCAGATTCTGACTCAATCTGAAGATCAAACTCTTCAAATCCTGACTGTCACTATTCACTGTAATCATACACCAGCATTAGATTGTTGTAATACAAAAAATAACTCTCAATATTGCATGTCCTGGTACCATAAGATTCCTGGAGAAGTTCCTAAACTCCTGGTCTATTACACATCAGACAGAGCTTCAGGTGTTTCTTCTTCTTCTTCTTCTTCTTTTTATTATATAAATCAACACCAAAGACTTATGCAATCTCTCTGTCTACATTATGAAAACAGCCGCTCATGTAAACTTGCGTAGTAGAGGCGTGTATAGAGCAGTCTGCAATAACATTTTGTCTCCTTTTTTGACGAAAATAAAAAGAGGTTTTTGGTAACGTTGTTATCTTTTTGAATACATTTTAGCCTCGACTTATTTCGTCAACGAAATTGCATGTTGATATAGTGTTAGGTATCGTTTATTGACCTTATTGTCGTCTCGTCTTCGTCTCGTCTTAGTCATGGGAAAAAGTTTAAAAATTTTCGTCATAGCCTTCGTTAACGAAATTAACACAAATTCAGTGGCAGTGAAAGTGGAAACCACATGGATTTTACTCTGACCATCAGTGGAGTCCAGCCTGAAGATTCAGGAGTTTATTACTGTCAGAGTGAACATGACAAAGGTGTCTCTGGCACCACAGACTGGGTGTTCACACAGTCTAAAAGCATCACTCCTCGGTTTTCAAAATTAATTTGGCAAGGGAAAAAACCTAGGGTTAAGATTAAAATCTTACAGTTGCCGGTAGATAATGGAGGACAGGTGTTACCTAACTTAAAGTTTGACAATTGGAAAACGGAAGATGGGGGATATTTTTAAAATAACATTTAACAAGGACCCTGTTTTTTATTTACTTGGTTTGCCAGCAAAAGACATTGCTTTAACTGCTAACTGGTTTCAACTATGTGACAAGCTTCTGTTACTTGCTAGAAAATGCATTCTAAATGAGTGGATTTACTCTACACCCCCATCACTTTCCCTCTGGTATCGAGAGATCTTCAGAATATCGCCTATGGAGAGACTAACTGCAGTGGTTAGGGGAGATAGTGCCATGTTTGAACACATGTGGGGGCCTGTTATGGAACATCTGCCAAACAGTTTACAAGAGATTATATTTAATGGAAGATTTGTATTTTAATAAGCATTCCTTTTCACTGAATAACTGGTTTACTTACTGTATGAGATGGGCTGAGGGGCAAATAGCTATGTCAAGAGGTTCATGATAGGCTGAGAATCTTATTTTCATTCATTTTTAGAATTATTATTTTTGTTATTGTTATGATTATTGGACTTTAATATTATTTTGGTTTAACTTTTTGTAATGGTGTATGGTTGTGTTTTTGTCTGTTAATAATAAGAATAATAATAAACCTCATTGTGTGAGACTGCCGCGCTGCAGCTTTGAGCTTCTGCAGATGTTGATGTTGAAGATCATTATTCACCTCACTGACTCACTGTTGATAAAGAAAAGCTCATGGTCAAAGCCAATGAAATGAAAGTGAATTTCACATTCTAGCTAATAATTAATATTTATGTAAAGAACAGCAGCATAATTTGAACAAATCTTTATTTAGATAATTTCCCAAATGTACGCCTTACATAGAAATGACTTGTGTTACACAAAATTAAATAAAAATACAAATAATACAGTATTAATAATGATATAGATTTAATTACATTTACATAAACTGTCTTCTTGTAGATGCATATTTGAATACTTCTCCATTATTTAGTTATTATTAATGAAATATTAGGGAATTTCGTAATTGATTTCACAACGCAATTTTTCTCAAAACAAAATCTGCAATATGAAAAGATTTTCTAAAATGCTGTCTATTTTTTTCACCTGGTTTACATTTATAATGTGATTAATTCAGCATTTATTCAACTTAATTCATTCTGTACTCTTCCTGACAGGCGTCTGTAGAGTGGAGAGTGTTTTGCATGTTTACTGCTTCACACACAAAACTCTGATGATCGGTGTGTTTTCAGTCCCTCAGAGTCACAGACACACAACACAATCATGTCTCTTTTACTAATTGTGGTTATACTGGGTCTGCTTGCTCAAGGTTAAAACTTATTTTTCTACATTGTCAGGGAATTTGGTATTTATCTTCACTGTAAAAAAATGACCTTGAATTTAACGGTAAAAGACTGTAACAATGCTACAGTAAAAACCTGTTAAATGGTTAACGGTAAATTCCCCTACTACATACGGTGAAAAACTGTATTGGACATTACGTGTATTGGACATTAATTTTACGGTAGTATACTGTTTTTGGAAGTGAAAAAGACCGTATAATTTACAGTGAATAACCATAAACTGACATTCCCAGAATTCCCTGCGTTACATTTCAAATTTGCTGTTTTTTTGTTGAAATAACTATGTTTCTTCTTAGTTTTTTCTTATCAGTTTTGTATATTAGGGTTGTGTGTTACACCGAATGTTGTTAAATGAATGTTTATTGCATTATTTCAGTTTCATGTGTGTTGTTACCATGATGGTGTTTAGTTTTTGTGTGAATGACACTGTGCACCTTCTATATATGTTATTATTTAAAAGCTGCTTGTGATGGGCTTTGGTTCATCATGTGACTTTCTCATCACCACCTGCATTTGGTGGTTATCAGTGTATTACAAAGGTGCAAAACAGATTTCAGTACTTCAATAGGTTGGTATATTAACATTATATCAGTTAATGAAAATACGGTAATTAACTGTAAATTTAAGTTAAAACCGTAAAACCTAAAACGTTGCTACCGTATTTTTTACGGTAAATTTTACGGAATTTGTTTTACAGTGTTTGCAAAGCCTGTGCTTTTTCATTTTTTAATTGCAAATATTTTTATAAAATATGTCAATATCTCATAATATGTATTTAAATGTAACACTTACCTTTTGATCTCTCTCTCAGTGTCTCATCAAGAGGTCCAGTCTCCTGAGTCTCTGTCTGTTAAAGCAGGAGATTCTGCTTCTATCAGCTGCACTGCATCTTCTGGAATTGGTTATCGCATGAGCTGGTATCTGCTGAAACCTGGAAAAGCTCCTAAACTCCTGATCTACTCAACAAGTAACCTTGCATCTGGAGTTTCAAACAGGTTCAGTGGAAATTATTCTGGATATGAATTTATGCTGAACATACATAGAGTCCAGCTTGAGGATGAAGGAGATTATTACTGTATGGGGTTTTATTCTAAAACAGTGTTCACAAGGTGAAACAGCTTTGTGCAAAAAACCTCCCTCAGTCTGACGACACAGTGAATGTACTCAATAACTATGTACTAATTTCTATTACATGAGATATAAATTTCTCAGTATGAACAGAATATTTAATCAATCTACACTTTCTGTCTATGATTCTGTTATGAACAGATCATTTTTTTTCATCCTGTTTAAATGCCTAAATCCTGACACCCAGGGGCGTCATGCACTCATTATTTTTGAGGGGGCACGAGTTGAGGGGGGGGAGTTGTCATGTGAAACCCAGCAGCCACAACAGCACTTATGTTTTATTTATTTTTTTCCTTTTTATTCGAAACATCTCCAAATGCATTAACTATATCATGAAATATCTTGATTCTCACCTAGATTATGTTGATCTATAGTGGGCGATGGTCAAAGTAACCTAATAATGTAATCTATTGACTATGCATAAAAACCTCTGTTTACTTAATTAACAGATATGGGTGTCATACCATAACATTTTTAATACGACAGTTTATATTTAATGTGAATTTAACATTGAAAGTTAATGTGAATAAAAACATTGTAAGTTAGGCTACTAATCATAACACAGCTCAAAAAAAATCTGAGGGGGCACGTGACCCCTCACTTTGAATGGGCATGACGCCTCTGCTGACACCCATTTGAAGATTTCAGACTATTAGCCCCAATTTTAATGTAATGAAGTAAAATAAGTAAAAAATGGTCAATAAAGCCTTATTATTGTCAATGTGATGTTGAACTAATAAATAATAATAAAAAAACATTTTTTTATTAATTAAATGCAGCTCAAATATTTTATTAAATTAAAATGTAATGATTAAGATGGCATGTTAAAATAAATATCTCTTTTGCTGTAACTGATATATTCAATATTAAAATATTCTCTACATATCCAGGCTGCTAATCACAATATCACTAAAAAATAAAAAAAAACAATAAAAGTGGTACAGTATTTAACATTTTAGTAATAATTCAGCACCATATTTAAGACAAAATGCTTTTATTTGGCAGCAAAAATAAAATGATCAACAAAACATTCATAGCATTGCAGTTCTAGAATTACAACATAAGAATATAAGAGCAATATACTAACAGCATGAAAGATTAATTGTTGAGCAGTGGCTGATTTAGGACAGTGTGTGTGTGTGTGTGTGTTTCATTCATCGCACTGCTGTGTGTTGAGGCTCTTGGTCACTGCACTGTGGGATGGGTGAGTAGCGTCACAGCTGACGGTCGTTGCTCTGCTCCACTCACTCTCAGTGAGGCTCAGGCTGCTGCTCCAGCTGTACAGTCCATCCTTCTGCAGCTGACTGGGACTCAGATTGACACCAGAGCTCCTGCTGCTGCCGTCCACCTTCCAGCTCAGCTTCCAGTCAGAGGGGAATCCCTTACTGGCCACACACAGCACTGTAGCCTTACCCTGCTGCAGCTGGTCTCTGGAGGGCGGCAGCACTGTGAGAGCGGGACGAGCCGCAGCTAAAGAGAGACAGAGATGGAAACTGTGATGTTTCATTCTTCTGAAAAACAGCTCTGTCAGTCATTCTGAGTGTCTTTCACTTCCCTTTAAGAGATTCAGAGTTAATCAAGCAGATCTGAAGTGCAACAGCCTGTAAACACACATTTTACCAGCCATCACACATATGCCTATGTTTAGATTTAACACTATTTATTCATTATTCATAATGTTATATTATAGATCTTTAACTTTTCAGGTTTCTATTGTCTTTTGTTGAAATTATTATAAAATGATTTTCTTTTAAAAAGTTATAATATATTATTTACAGTTAAGTTTGATATGTTCCTAATTCTACCATGGAGTGTAAATGAAAAATAAACCTGAATCCAGACACCTAATTATTAAAAATATTTAAATTCATTATCATATATTTTCAACTTTGCATAATTTCTAAGTTGTCTTAATATGTTTATTGACAGATTTACCATTCTGATGGATAAAATGCTCAACACTGTAAAAAAAAATATTTTCATGATTTGTTACAACAACCTTTGTGTGTGTGTGTGTGTGTGTGTGTGTGTGTGTGTGTG